GGTGGGCAGGGGTCAGCAGGACGTGCAGTGGGAAGGCTGGAGGTGGGCAGGGGTCAGCAGGACGTGCAGTGGGAAGGCTGGAGGTGGGCAGCGGTCAGCAGGACGTGCAGTGGGAAGGCTGGGGGTGGGTATGTGGCTCTCACTCTTTGGGAGCCTGGTGGTGCAACAGATAAGCACCAATCTGTTGACCAAAAAGGTAACATTTCACCACCACCCCCCCCACCCCACCCCCCACCCCGGCACTGAGGCAGAAAGGCCTGGTGATTTGCTCCTCTAAAGGTGACACCCTAACCACCCTCTGGAGCAGTTCTGTCACAGGGTCCCCCGAGTCCCTTGGGCACCTGTGAGGGTGGCTCTCTTGTCACAAGGTCCCCCAGGTCTCCATCGCCTGCTGGTCACCCATAGTCACGCTCACGCTCTTGGCTCTGACCCACAGACCTTGACAACTGTGACGTCTAGCCATAGCCAGCATGGACACTAAGAAGCGCCTGGCCTATGCCATTGTCCACTTCCTGCACGGCCAGCTGCGCCATGGCGGGCTCTCCTCTGATGCCCAGGAGAGCTTAGAGGGTGAGTGCTGTGGGGCCCGGCTCCTCCCCTGTGGGCACAGAGGGCTGTCCTTCTCGTCCCCGCCTGGCTCTTCCTCCTCACCTCTTTCCTTTGCCGCCCAATTCCTTTCCTTCCCCCCCCCCGTCCTCCCCTCACTTCCCTGTCCCCCCTCGCTCTCCTGTCCCCCCCTCCCCTGGTCCCCTTCCCCCGTCCCCCCCTCGCTCCCCCACCTCTGTACTCCTTCCTCCCCTTCCCTTTTCCGGCCCCTTTCTTAATCTCCCACCCCCCTCCTCAGGACCCTGACTTCTGCCCCAGGTCTGGCTCTCAGGGTGGGCATGTCCTCAGTGACAATCAGAGGGGTTAGCGGGTACCCAAACTCCACGGTCTCGGGCCAGCCATGGGGGACCGAGTGGTAGTCCTGTCTATGACCTTGAGGTGGCAGGGTCAGAATCCCGTCCTGGTGGGTGAGGTGCCCATAAAGACGGTGGTGCGGTCCCCTCACAGTGGCCATCCAGTGCCTGGAGACGGCGTTCGGTGTGACCGTGGAAGACCATCACCTGGCACTGCCGCAGACACTCCTGGAAATCTTCGAAGCTGCTGCTGAGAGCAAGGTGAGCCCCCAGCCTCCCCCATGGTGGTCACGTATGTGGAGCACGGGGCCAGAGGGCGGTGTCTCAGCTGTACTCCCCCACCACACCTGCCCTGCTGTGCCATGTGCCATGTGGGTCCCCAGTGGAGTCTGTCTGGTGGCCTGGTGTCTCCCTTTCAAGGGAGCTGGACAGCTGTCAGGTTGGGTAAGGATGGGTCGGTTGGTACCTCTCTTCACGATCCTGCCTTTGTCCTCAGGGCCAGGAGACACCGCAGGACCTGCAGAGCCCCGACCGGACGCCGCCATCTGAGGAGGACTCGGTGGAGGCAGAACGCCTCAAGACGGAAGGTGAAGCGACATGTCCTCTGTCCCCAACTCGGTCAGCAGCTAGGACCCCGGGAGCACTTAGAGAAGGGCTCAGCTCCTCATGGCCCTAGGGGGCAGCTGTGGAAAACAGCAAGTGCAGCGACTCACGGGACAGGGGCCCCGTGGGGTCTCCATGGTGGGCTTGAACCACCAGCCACTCACCCCACCACCAGAAACATCACGTGGCCCAGTGATTCCACTCATAAATGTGCGTCCCGGTTCAAGAGAGCGGGGCCTCCGGCAGTGAGTCCACTGTGTTGAGCTGCCCGAGGTGGACGCAGTCGCAGACCACAGTGTGCCTCCGCCCACCCGAGGGGCTGTCACTTGGCTGCTGTGCTGGTTCACGCTGTGACACTCTTGGTGACAAGCCACACACACACGGACACTGCTGCTGGGTGCCCTGACTGGTGGATGGGCCACGTTTCAGACCACCCAGCACAGGGCGCACTGGTTCAAATCCACCAGCTGCTCCTGCAGACCTCATGTCGGGAAAGCTGACGCTGGTTCGCCGGGACGGAGTCCAGTCGACTTGATGGCCCTGGGCCTGGAGTGTGTGCTTTGAGCACGTGTGTAGGATGGCCCGTTCATGCGAGGCCTCGTGGGTCACTGCTGTGGGAGCACTACATTTCTGTAGGTGGTGGAGGGACTGTACACAGTAGAGAGAGTGAAGGGACGGAGCACCATGTATGCGAAGCCCCTAGGAAGGGCAGTGGCCGGTGCCAGCGTGTCTGCTGCTCTTGGCGCCTCGTGGGTCAGTTCTGAACCAGGGAGGCCCCTCCTGCCTCAGGGTTTTCTCGACTGTGACCTTTGAAAGCACATTGCCACACCTTTTTTCCTCGACACTTCTGGGTGTGTTTGAGCCGCCAGCCTCTGTCCAGGTCAGGCGTGTGTCGTTTGTGACATCCAGGACCTCCCGCACGCCTGTAGGTTTACCTCGTTCATACCAAGCAGAGCCCGCCTGAGCCCAGCACCTGTCTCCTTCTCTAGGAAACGAGCAGATGAAGGTGGAGAACTTTGAAGCGGCCGTCCACCTGTACGGGAAGGCCATCGAGCTGAACCCCGCCAACGCCGTCTACTTCTGTAACAGGTGTGGCTCCAGGCTCGTGAGGGGCTGGGCAGGGCCTGAGACGGGCACCACGTCCACAGAGATGGTGGCACTCATGTCCCTGTGACCTGCGGGGACCTGGTGGCCGTGAGGGGGCTGGGCTGGGCCTGGGAATTTCAGGCCAAGAATGAGTTTCCTGAGGCTGTAAGTTCTGCAGGAGGAGTGCTCGCTTCGGCAGCACATACACTGTAATTGAAACGACACAGGTTAGCATGGCCCTGGGCAAGGATGCCACGCAAGTCAGCGAAGCGTTCCGTAGTTTAAAGAAGTGAGATTGCCTGTGCTTCTGCCGTGGAGGTGCTGGTGGATTCGAACTGCCCACCTTTCACCTCGCTGAACATTTTACATACTTTGCTCTCTGGGCTCCTTCATTTAACAGAAGTTGACAACGTTGGTGAACCTAACGGCCCCTGGCTTGGGTTTGGCACACTTTGTCTCGATGCCACAGTGTCAGTATCTTCAGGTTTCCAAGTCCGACACGTCGAGCGCAGACACACTGTGGGTTTGGCGTACCTGAGCGAGTGGACGTGGCTGTGTCCCAGCAGAGCTTCATTACAAGCTCAGGCGAGCTGGATCCCAGGCTGGGCTTGTCAGCTCCCAGACTCGGAGCTGGGAACCGCGAGTCTGTGCCCTTAACCGTGTGGACACGTCTGCTGGCTTTAGAGTTCGTTCCTTACCCGGAGCAGCCAGCCTGTGTGCCCGTGTCCAAGGTCACATCCCTCAGCTCTGCGTGTGGGTCCCACCGGGCAAGCTGTGCTGCAAAGCCTGGCTGCCTCCCCATGGAGCACGGGGCAGCACCGGGTGGCCACGTCCATCCCACTGCACCAGGACAGACAGAACCTCGGGCTGCAGCCGGTACTCTTCTCCTCGGGCGCCGCGTGTTCTCAGCTGCTGCTGGCTTGATTCCTGGCTGCCTTCTGGACAGTGGGGCAGGACCCCGCCTGACCTCATGCTGGCAGTGGGCAGCACATTTGTCTCTGTCCTCACCTGCTCTGCCAGCCCACTCGCCGAGGCTCGCTGCACACATCCCTCCTGGTGACACGGCCTCAGGAGGCTGGCTGTGTTCCACGAGTGACACAGAAGCAGCTCTCCGGGGCCTGCTTCCAGGCGGCTTGGTCTGTAAGCTCTGCCGACCGTGTCCCTCACAGGTGACCCCGCTGGTGTTTGAAATTCTGGTAGCCTGGTTTGCAGTGTCATAGCACACAGCCGCTACAGTAGGATGCACTCCCCCATTTTACAGATGGATAAATTGAGGCTCACTCTGACATCAGTTCCGCCTTAGTACCGGGAAGGAGCCCAGCCCTCCGGTCCTGCCCTTGCTCCACTCGGCCTCGTGCCCAGCACAGAGTCCCTGTTAAAGAACCTGTCTCTCTCTCCCCAGGGCGGCGGCCTACAGCAAGCTAGGGAACTACGCAGGCGCTGTGCAGGACTGCGAGCGCGCCATCTGCATAGACCCTTCCTACAGCAAGGCCTACGGCCGCATGGGGTGAGTGTCGGTGGGCCTGGCGCACCCGCGCCGTCCCTACCTCCAGCCGTCCCTCGGGCTCTTGTGTGTGTTGGTCACTGAGCAACATTCATGCTGTTGTCCAGATGGGCTCCGTGTGGAAGGGGAAGGAGAGACCTGCAGGGCCTGGCAATGGAGCGGGGACCCTGCTCTGCGGTCCCGTTACACCCCCCATGACCACACCATCACTGCCACGTACCGCACCCCTGAGGGCACCCCCTCCCAGGCCCCTAGCTTTGCTGAGCACACACCCCCTGCTGGGGTCCCCTGCCTCTGATCCTCACCAGGGCTTCCCTACCTCTGCTCAGAGTATCGCCCCTGGGGATCACCCTGACCTTGCCCTGTGGTACCGCGTCATCCCTGGGCGTCCGCTCTCTCGGCCCTAACTCATACCCCCCCAGGGCCCCCCACTCTGCCCCGTCTCACACCCGCCCCACCCTTTCTTTCCTAGCCTGGCGCTCTCCAGCCTCAACAAGCACACGGAGGCCGTGGTCTACTACAGGAAGGCCCTGGAGCTGGACCCAGACAACGAGACCTACAAGTCCAACCTCAAGATCGCCGAGCTGAAGCTCAGGGAGGCTCCGAGCCCGGTGAGTGGGCAGCAGAGGCTCCATCCTGGGGACTCGCCCATGAGGACAGACCTGCCTGTGAGCAGGTGGGCTCAGCCTTGTGTCTGTAGGGGCCCCAGGTAGGAGAGGTGGGGCTGCCCGGTGGAGGCTGTCTGGCGCCTTCACAGCAGTGAGGGGCCTGACCTGCCGTCAGGTTGACACTCATTTGGTTTGCGTCTCTGTCCTCACAGACGGGCGGTGTTGGCACCTTTGACATCGCAGGTCTGCTCAACAACCCGAGCTTCATGAGCA